TTGGCTCGGTCACGAGTGTGGGAATAGAAGCTCGGATAAATCGATTTCGGAAATTCCTTATTTATTTATGACGTATAATATACATATATATGTTTTTTTCCACCTGTTTATCATTTTTCTTTTATGGAAACTTACTATTCTTGCGTATGAATCTGATTTTTTTTTATAACTGACCTTTTATCTTTTTCTATCGTTCAACATTACATTTGCATTTAAATAATAAATCTGATGAATACAGATCCAATCAAAGTTACAACGTTGAAACACCAGGTTCATACTCTGCGTCACGACCTAGCAGAAAAAAACGCATTACTTGCAACCGTGCAAAAAAAATTAAATCGTCATAGACATCAAATTGCAAACGGAGGGGGAATGACTCATGAATCGACGACAGGAAAAGTTATCGGGAACTTGCATCATGAGATTGAGTATTTAAAAAAGGAAGTAGCGGATGCCAAAACTCAGATACATGTAGCGAAAGTTGCTAGGGATCGGGCAGATCGACAAGTACAAGAACATTCCGCATCACATCAAACATTAAGACTTGAAATTGATTCTCTAAAACGAATGTTGGAACGAAAGGAAAGACAGGTAAAAGAATTGGAAGAGATTTCGAAGGAACATGAAAGAAAAAGAATGGATCTAAAATCAGAACGAGATAATACAAACATAAGATTACAAGAATCAGAATCAAAAGCTTCTAACTTGGAACACCAACTGGCTTTGGCATTGTTAAGTAAGGAACAAGCAGAACTGCAATATCAATTATTGACAAAGGAAATGAAAAATTTTAAACAACGTTATGTTGAAGATGTTGAATTAATTAAAAAAGAATTCCAAGAATTAAGAGAAGAAATGAATTCAACAGCAAAAGAATTGGAAGATGTTGTTGTGGAAGCAGGCGCAAAAATTGAAGAGATAACGTCACAAAGACAAGTAGAAGTTGAGGAACTACAATCCATTCAAGCTAAGCTAAGAGAAAATCAAGAAAAATCGTTTTCAAGGATTCAAAGTGAAGTTGAAATGGTTAAGAAAGATGTTGAAATATCGAATCAAAAAACAAAAGCACATACTGATAAAATTACATATATTCAAAAGGAATTAAGTGGAAAAATGAGTTGGCTACGAAGTATTTAAATTCCTATAAAGTATATGAAATACCAAAGTAATAATGAACGATTTATGTTTATTAAAAAAAAAAAAAAAAAAAAAAAAAAAAAAAAAAACCCCAAAAAATGTCATTCATTCATTTTTTTAATATATATATGTATTGATTATATTCGCCATTGATTTTTGATCGGTTATTAATGAACGATGAACCTATTTGAATGTTACATTCAAAATAATCTGTATATACTTATTTTGGGACATTGTGTGATGCCTTGAAGTCTCTTTAAAGTAACTATAGCAGGGCATAAAATACCAACTCATTTACCGGTCATTCAAAAATATCGTTCCTGATTCAAATTATTTCAATTATTCTAATGTATCAAAAAAGACACTTAAAATAATGAATTGGTAATTTATGCCCTGAACTACAGTATAAATGGATGAATAGTTTGGTGTTGGTTTAAAAAAAAGAATAAATTATTGTATATGCATTTTTTTAATAATATCGTTTATTGATTTAATAACCGTTTTTTTTTTTTTGTAACTATATTTTATTTCAACATGAACGTTATGTATATTATACAATATTTTTGCAGGTGTACATTAATATTACTTTTTTATTATGGTTGGTGAAATTAATATATGCTGTATAATATGCTGTATAATTTGACATACATCACCATAATTAATTCAACTAACACAAATAAACAATATCTGCAACTAATTAATTCTCGACGCGATGCAGAATACACATTCATGAGTAATTCATAAATAATTCATGAATAATTCATGATGGAATAACATTAAAAAAATGAAATACTTCCTCGTCATCCATTACAGCCACTTTAGTTCCACAAATTTCGCACTCTACAGGATAATAAATTTCCCCCTTTGCTGTGGACTTCTCAAGTGTATTTTCACTTGTAGAGTTAGGTCGTTGCTTTTGCTTATCTGATAATATTTTATTTTTATTTTTATTATGCGCTTTAATATTTTCTTTATCGGTATAAATTAATCGTTCCAACCGATTGGTTTTACAATTTTCTACAAAAATTGCTCGATATTGTGATGAATAAAGGCTATGTCTATGTATATGATTTTGTCAGTATCATACGCAATTAGGTTAATCACAAGGCTGCTAACACTTACTTTTGAGTATGATAACTTAAAACAGTAAAACACATGGGACATGATAATATCGCATCTGTTTCTTTTGCTGCTACTTGGTTTATGGTTTCTTTTGTCGTTTGGTTTGTTATTTCTTTTGTTGTTTGATCAGTTGTCTCGGTATCATACTCTTAAATATATATTTGTCATTTGATCTGTCATCTACTGAAATTTCCTTACATATATAATATTAAAATGCTTACGAGCCAATTTTTTTTTCATCCACAATTCATCATCATCATCCATTTTAGGATCATAAAATAATTCATCTTCTGTTAATTTTTTTCGTAATTTTTGTTTTTTTATTGAATATGTTGCTTCTAATTATACCAACGTTCTACAGTTAAATTTACAAATCTCTTGCTTCCAAATCTTCAACGAAAAACTATTAAAGAACCTGTCGAATTGCTTTGTTCCTTATCAACTTCACCAGTTTCGTTATCAAGATCAGAATCAAAGTATAAGTCTTCATAATATAGTTCATCGTCACTTTCATTGGTTTCGAATTCTTCCGGAATGAAAGACATTATGATCAAATTGACTAGGTTCGTACGTACATCGATATATAAATACAAAATACCAAATTACACTGATCTGATCTGCTATAATTTCGCTGATTTGATTGGTCAATAATCATCTTAGCCAACAAATTTAAGCCACGCACTAGAAGTTTGATTAACAAGCATATTTATAGCGAGCTTGGATTTTACGCGACAAAAAAAAAAAAAAAAAATGTCTGATCCTAAAAATGAACGTGAAGAAGAAGGTATTTACTCACGAATATTAAAGTTACATGTAAAATGAAGTTATATAAGATTAGTTTGTACTGCAATTTAAGATTATTTTCTCGTAATTTTTCTCCGGTTTTTGGTTGTAACATTTTTTGTATAAGAAAAATCCAATGTAAGCGAATTAATTCTCTTTATATACTTTTTATAACCTTATGACAGAACAACCAGCTGCCAAGGAAAAAGAGGACCTCGTGATAGAAAAACCAACTGACAAAGAAAAAGAGGAACCTATCAAAGTTAACAATTCTAATCTTGTAGAATTAAAAAACGCATGTGATGATTATATTCAGAAGGTTGATATTGGTTTGGATTTCTATATCTTTTAAATATTCACCTTTAAAATATTATTTCATATAATATTTTTTTTTAGTACTTTACTAGCAAAGCTGAATTTATCCAAAATCATAAACATACCGATTTTAAATTAATAATTGGATATTTATCTTGCGCGTTCGCTCTTTATGGTGGTTATTATGGACAAGTAACGCCATTTAATGAATCAAAGGAAGTTACACTTATTTGTGTCGTTGTGTATCCTTTATATGTATATATTCTTTATTGTTATTTTACCTATTTTCATTATTAGAAACCCTTGACTATGACACTACAACTTATGTACCTTATAGATACTTTATTTTAAACTTGATACTGGTAATTTACACATTCATATTTGAAAAAGATATCATATTCTTGGGTGAAAAAAATACATCAGAAATGAAAGAGCGTCTTACGATTCACACAAATACCAAAAAGTACTCTGATATTTATAATATCACTTTTGAATTTCATGGAAGTAATTCATCAAGTAAAACAAAGCACAAAATAGCGAAATCCTTTGGTAATTGGTTTGATGTAAATGGATTATTGAGTACAGAAATATTTGAGAGAGAATTGGCCGATGGACTGGAATCTGTAAGGAATGGAAAATTACATATTCAGTAAATACATCCGCTTATTGGTCGTAGAAACAATTTCTAATTGGATATAATCCTTAGTGTGTCAGATATGTTTTACATTTTCTTAATTAAATAATTTGGCTTATAAATTTTGATTTTTTTTTTGAAAAAAAAAAATTGTAATATTCAAATTATAAATACCGAGCCAGTTTATCGATGACGGGCAGCAATTGAAATTGGTTACATTTATTTTTTTATATTTAAAATAAAACTGTCAAATGTTATGTAATCCGACTTTTGTCACCATGTAAAATATTTGCGCAAATCATATATGAATTGCAAGCTTATATTTATCACACTTATCGTTCAGATTTTTTTTTTACTGCCCATAACTATTATCATCTAAAGCATTATTTAAAATGCAATCCTCCATTAATAACAATTATTTCCTGTCTACGCAATCAATCGTGCAGTCACAAAATCCCAACAAACTTTTAATTTTTTTCAGTTTTTTTTCGCGCAACAATAACTGTTCATTCATAAATTCACATTCACGTTTTGTGATTTGATACTTTGCCCACTCTGATTTGTATTCCACTTCCAACAATTCTTCCGCAGTAAGTACATTTCTGTCATTCTTATCAACGATAGCTTCCTTCTTATCAATGGTTGTTTCTTTCTTATCAACGATACCTTCCTTCTTATCAACGGGTGTTTCTTCCTTATCCATGGTTGTTTCTTTTTTCTCAATGATTGTTTCTTTTTTATCAATGGTTATTTCTTTCTTATCAATAGTTGTTTCTTTCTTCTCAATGATTGTTTCTTTCGTATCCGTGGTTGTTTCTTTTTTACCAATTATTGTTTCTTTCTCACAAATGGTTGTTTTATTATCAATAGCATTTTCTTTACTATCAATGATGGCCTCTTCATTAGCGATGACTGTTGTTTCGTCATCGTCACCATTAATAGTAATACTGTCATCAGTTAATAGATCTTTCTCAACATTATTGAAAAGAGAATCATACTCTTCATCAGAACTACTATCATCATCTGAATAATAAACAAACCTTTCTTTCTTAGTTCGATTTTGTTGATCATCTCTGTTTCTGTCAACAGATAATATATCTTCGAAAGGATGATTATCAGAATAAGATCTTTTAGAATTTAATATATATTGTTTAACCATCGTTACCAGATTCTGTTCAAATTGTTTATCAGAAAGATTATCTACTGACGACAGTGGTGGATATTGATCAGTAGGCAATTTTTGTTTTTTACGAGGTATATTTTCTATGGTAGAAAAGTATTCATAAGAATTTCGTGAATTCAATTTTTTTGAATCTTGGGCTCCAGACGATAATGATGGTATGCCATTTTCAACTACGTAATCCTGATATTGCAAAAATTTTCGTTAACGCAAATTTTTCCAAAAATAAATAAATAAATAATAAAAATATACGCGTTTTTAAAAAACATACCACGCATTTATCTTGTTTAATATTTACAAATGGTGTTGTAAAATCGGTCAATCCATTAATTGATCCTGATGGCTTAATAATATTTGTGGAAGGTCGTGCTTGAACAAATTGTTGTTGATTTTGATCGCTTACTAAACAGCGTTTTCTTGAGCCATTATGCTTAGCAAATTTACAAGCACTTGTAGCATGTAAGCCATTTCCTTCGCTAACCGAAACACGGTTTGTATTAACAGTACAACGGTTGGGTGTCGCGTCACATATGACTGGAGCTGAACTCGAAGAATTAATAGTAATCGATTCATTACCCGATTTGTCAAAGAAAAGATTAGTCTGTGAAGGAGTATTACGAGAAAGTAGAACGTTATCACGAGAAAAATCGAATTGGGATGAATGTAAAGTGTAAGTATCAATTGTGTAAGTAGGCTTTTGCGCTGAGTTTGTTCGTGAGGTATTATTATTTTGACATGTTTCTCTTTGTTGAGACATTTCTCGAAACTCATAAAAATACAATCTCAGGTTATTTGATTAAAAAAGTCGCTGTTTACGCGAGGTAATATTTCCAATAACGGCATCAATCGTTGGTTATCGTCCAATGTAATATATCAATATGGCTAAAAATTAGCTGCATGGATCTTCATCTTACTTCTACATGCAGCCTTTTTTTTTCAAGTACAGAAGTAATAGATAATTTTTTTTAAACGTCAAAGTGTTATAACTTAAAAATTATAAATCAAATAAAAATCTATTCTAACAGAATTGTAACTTGGAAAAAGGGATATATTGGATTTTTTTTGTATCAATATCGACATCGATATCACGATGGGCACGAAAAATAACATAAATAAACCACCACCACGTAATTTGCGAAAGGAGGGAAGAATTAAAAAACGAACTTTATCTTCGATATTACACAAAAATGGGATTTTAAAACCTAATCAATTAGTAATACATGGTAAAGATCTATCTAAAAAGAAACAGAAGAGGATAGAAAGGAGGTTTCGATATGTGAGTATTTTTTGTAATCCTACGAGTATTTTGTATGTTGTTAATAATAAATATTTATTTTCATTAAAGGAATTACGTAGACGTGTTGAACAAGGTGAAATGGTGCCAGAAAAACTAATCAATGCAGGTAAACGTTTTCATAATTCTTAATAATTTTACGTGTTGTTTATTCGATTTGAATAATAATCAAATTTTTATAAAGATGTGCCATCCAACATTGATAGTCAACAAACCATAGAAATGGATATTGTATCGTTAGGATCTGGTACTATATTAGGTGCACCTTCTCTCAAAAAAACCTGATCAAATTAATGTGGATAACTATTAAATGCCAAACATATATTTTTTTATTAAATTAAATAAATAATGCGATTTGTTGGTTAAAAAAATGCATGTGAATTATGGATTAATTAATTTCTTCATGTCAATTCCTTATGTTAATTTTTTAACTATCCATAATACAAAGAATCCAACACAGCCAATAATCAGGGTAGTTTTCACACCTCTTTCTGTACCAAATAGCCACCATAAACAACCAACTATTCTACTGGATGCTTCACCGATTGTAAATTTAAGATTTCTATGATCGTCAATCTTAAATGGAGAATTGGACGTACCCGATTTAATGACTGTCCGTTTATGTTGTGGTGTTATGGCAAATAGGGCAGAAACGGGTTTGTGGTCCGATAAGGTGTAAGAAGGATGTGACATATAGCTAATTAGTAATACTGGTGAAGATCGCTCGGCAGTACTGCCAGGATCTCCCCCTTGTAATTCATCCTTTTTTCGCCAATAATAAAAAATCCTATCACACCAACCAGGAGTTCGTTGTCTGACATCAAATTCATTTACACTCCCAACATAATATTTATATGTTGGCATGAAATTTAGTTCACCTTCTTCAAATCCATGTAATACTCTACCATCAATTATTTCTCTTGCTAATTGATCGCAAGCCCTAATTCGTTGATGTTGGTGAGCTCGCAGAATGTCAAGTAGGCTTGAAATAGTTAGAGTATTATTATTGAAATTTTCTTGTTCTTCCAACTCGATTCTATAATTCAAGTCACCGAAGAAGAAAAGAAAATCAGAATCGTATATAGTAAAGTAATGCTGATGTTTACTGTTGTGCGATGGTAATAACGGCGCCGAATCTCCACTTTCCATGTTCGTCATCATTATTTCACAATCTTCTCGTTGCTCTTGTGTGGAGTCTCTATTGGCATTCTCAGAATACATAGTATTGGTAAACACCAATCGTTCACAAATACTTTTAAAATCTTGATTACGCTGATATGTATTATGACTGTGCGGTGCGAGATGTGCACAAACAAAACACAACACTAATTCTCTTGTACTATCTGTTCCATCTTCACTCTCGGGAACCTGTCCACCAATCGCATTCGCGTTAATAACAATTCTAACACCC